CAATGTCAACCCACATCCTGCCAGAATGAATTTCTCGGAACAGAGCAAAGATTCTGGGAATATTTTTCGCAACTCTGCTTGGTCGATGCATTTCACAGAGACAGCCAGATTGATGGAGTTTTACTAATGAAATATCCGTGATAGCATCGATCTGTTCGCCAAAATACCGCCCTCTCACTTGCCAGTAGCCTACCGACCAGTCTAAAACAAAACCGCGTATACATCGCGAACGAATGACTCTACTGGGAGCCTGCTAGAATATCTTAACGATTAAATCCTGAGGCACAGCTGGACATTGTTAACAGTCATGTGGTGGTGAGTATTCAGAATCTCGAGTAGGATACTGGAATTGAGAGAACACGATGCAGGCTCCCCAATCTAGACACGAGTCTCCACTGCACTGCAGCAACTTAATATTGTATTCTCACCCCGCAGATCACATTGTGCTCTGCTACAGATTGCCTGATTGTCACATTCCTATTCAAAGGCGCTTCTACCTCTCCAGTGAGGAAAAATCTCTGATCCTTAATATCACTTTGTATGTCCACCCTTTCAGTTGCGATGTTGCTCGTTGAAACACAACTAAAGCATATTTTGTCTTCCTCGTTCACATCTTGGCAAGACCTTCACCATTAAGGGTTTGTGTAGTACTTGATCATGATGTGCAGGGATAGTTTTTACTTTTCAAGGTCAAGCTAACGGTGACATCTGATTTCGTAGGCATTGTCATGTTTCCCTCAGAGACTCAAAATGGAGTCGAGAAAAGAGATTAAGCCAACAACGTCATCAAGATAGCGTTCATAATTACGTGAATTGTCCAGAAGTTGACGTCAATCATGGCTGGGGTGCGTGCTCGTCAGGCCATCATCATGGTTCGCTTTCTCACTCCAAGGCATATCAAAATCCATCCCACTTCCAATCCGTAAGATTTCTTGGCTGCAACAAATCTCCCGCCCCCATTGTGACCAATGGCCACTGAGCCACGACAACCGAAGCATTACGTTCCATCAAGCTGAGACATCCAATCTTCATGTGTCGCAACCCAAGGATATAATTTTAAACGTTATATGAAAATACAAAATTATAATAAAATCTTATAAATTTATAAAAATATAAAAATAATTATTTTATATTGTTGATTTTTTAAAATTTATGTAAATATATGTTTATTTAAATAAATTTGGTTTAGTAGAAATTATTGTGAGTTATTAAAAATAATTGTGTTTATTTTAGAAGTAATAATAGAAGCTATTTAGATGCAAGTTAAATCTATAAGCATCTTTGGTTGTGCAATGTTGAATAAAAGAATATTAATACTTAAAAAAAATGCATATTATTAAATTCTTTGATTGGCTAAAATTAAAAAAGTGTATTTAATTTTCTTACTATTTAAAAAAATAAGCACAAAGTTTTTGATAGAATTGTATTTTTATATATATATATATATATATATATATATAACATAAATACTATTGTATTCTAAATTAGGTCTGTAGATCCTTAAAGAACATCTTTTGGAATTTTTATTTTTAAAATTTTTTTAATTATTTTTATTGACAGACATTTTATGCTCAAAAAATAAGGAGAAAAGCTACAATTTTCAAACTTGTAATTAATTAAAATTAAAAAGTTCAACTTTGTAAGTTTACATCTCAAAAACATTATTTAAAATTATAAAAAATAAGTTAAAATATAATTTTATTATATGGTATAAATAATCTTGTTTCCTAAAAAATTTAGAAGGCAACTTTAAAAAATTATTTTTTACAAAATATTAAAATATTATTAAAAATATCTATATACATATCTATAATCTTAGAGTATAGGAATTTTATTAGTTACATAAGGTTTTATATACATTATGTGGATTTATAAAATATCAAAAATTCTAAATTACAGAGAGATAAAAAAAAACAAAATAAACAAAATAAATGTGAGAATTTGCATTTTATTTATTGAATTGATATATTTGGAATTTAAAAGAATGAATAAAGATTTTTGTTAAAACTTTGTTGCAATTTGAATGTATAAGTGCCAGCTTTATTTTTAATGCAAGATTGTTTGTTCATGAGCATGCTTATATTTATTAGAGACATAAATACAAAAGCATAAGTTTGTTTTTATATATAATTTATTATGTGCAAAAGACAAAGAATACCATTCTTTTTTCTTTTTTTTTATTCAATTAACAAAGCTTATTCTTGGATTCAATTCTTATAAGTGAGAATATTAGTTAGAAATTTGAAAAGATTTAAAAAGATTAAAATATATGCATATATATATATATATATATATATATATATTAAAAATTATTTTTAATCTATTTAGGTATTGATTATCTTCTTATCAAGGAAAAGAACTCAAAGATTATAAATAAACAAGTGAAACATATATCAAAGAGGAATGACAAAAGAGATATAAGAAAGTATGTATATTTGAGATGAAATTAAAATTGCTATTTATAGAGACAAAAAAACTAAAAATTCTTGAAATTAGACTAGAAGTAAGAAAGAAATTAACAAGAGTGAAAAAAGGCTCACTTTTGCCACTATATACACTATCTACACTATCTACATAGGAATCATGTGGCAATGCATTATAGGACCTTTAATACATGTCCAACTTGCAAGACACATGTCTAACTTATAAGGCAAGTTTTCCATATGTGTGCCACATGGCCAACTTATACCTCACTTGGACAACTTAATGGGTAATTTTTTAATCTACCAATTACCTAGAAATAAGTTTAAAGTCAAATCTGTGTTTATGTAGCTTCTAAGAACTTCTCTACAAAATAATATATAATTTGCTTACTTTTAGTTATTTTACATAATTAATAATATTGATTATGTCCATGAAATAACTTTCTTAAATTTTAAGGTTGACCTTCCATCTTAAATACCTCATTTTAAAACCGTTTACTTGTTTTCAAAAACATTATAAATATTAAAAACTAAATCAACTATAAATACACAAAATTTATTTCAATCCAAGACACAAATTATTTAAAATCATAAAAATTTATATTAATATTCAAAATTCAATTTTCAAGATTTTAATTCACTAGAATCTCAATCTATTTTGATTTGATCATTTGATTAAATATAATATTATAATCCACATTTTATACAATTATATTTATAAAACCACAAAATTTTACATATAGATCTGTTATAAAATTCACACAATTCATTAAAATATAATTCTATTATTATTCCTTAAAATATATATATATATATATATATATATCCAAAACAATCATAATTTTCAAAAATTCTTACAAATTCATTAGAAACTATATTCTCTCCAAAGTAATGTTTAAAAAATATTATTAATTTTTTTTAAATCCTAATTTCCAATCAACAATAAAATCTCATGTTTGTTTTGAATGCCTAGTTATGTGCTTCAAGGTCTAGTTGCAACCTTGGTTTACAACCAATTCTCCTTGAATATCAATCTAAGGCTTTTTTTGAGTAATTTTTATTGAAAGCTACTCTTTATTTTTACCTAAAGAAGTGTATAATTTTATTTTTGCTAATCTACTTTATTTTATTTTTTTATTGTTTTGTAAAGTAAGTAAAAATTTATTTTATTAAAAGACAACATTAATAATATAAAAAATTTTACTTCCTCCTATACTTTTATTTTTAATACTAAAACCATTTATTAAAATATTTAAAAATAATAAATTTTAAAATATAATCATCTCTTTTTCTTTCACCTAATAGTTGTATTATATTATGACATCAATCTTCTTTAAATTTATGCAACTTTTAATATGTGCAAATTATTTTTTAATATATTCATAGAGAATCTTTTTCATCATAGTCAAATTCTTGTCTATAATTTGTTCATCTATTTCTATTTCAATATCATGTAATGGATTTGTTCTTCATTAAAATAAGTACATTCACTCTTTTATCTAAATAACTTAATTAACTTATCTGCTATAGATATCTTTAATTCTTTACCATCATGTTTTCAAAACAAGTATGAGGCATTGTCAGAGACTTTTTTCATAATATATAGTTCAAATCAAAATTTTAAAATTTTTTGTAATGTACTATATTAATTATGCAAACTATTATCAAAAATTAAGATGCAATCATCTTCTTTAATTGTTTTAGGTCATAGTCAATGTCTTTTTTTATTAAATATCTCTTTATTCTTTTCTTTTGTTTTTTTCAACCTCTCTATAAATGCTTCAATATCATTATGATTTCTTTCCAATTGCTTAATTTAAAATGCTAAAAATTCTCATCTCATAAGATCATCCTTCTATAGTAATATATTCCATATAAGCAATATCTCTTTTATTGGCATCATGGATTTTAATGTATACATTTATTCAAAAAGCATATAACTTATCATTGTATAGAAATTCTGAAGTCTACTCATAATGCAAATAATAGTAATCTAATTACTTATGTATTTTGCCACTGCATGTCTTTAGTAATACCTTAACAATGTCTCAATATCTATGCTCACTTTTTCCATCAACTTCCAAATTATATGTTATTGTCAAAATAATAATAATAATAATAATAATAATAATAAATAAATAAAAAATCCATTCTACCCACGAATTCTTTTGTTTGTTTTGCATCTAATTCACCTCTATTTGTAGTAATTTTTACAAAACAACCATAACAACAATGACAACCTTCTTAAAAAAATCAACATATACTTTCAATATTTTGTAATCAAGTTTTATGATTTAGAATTTAAGATACTTATGTGAATTTGATAACAACTTCACATGAGATTGAAGGCAACACACCACATATCAATATGCAAGACATAAGAAAATAGACATGCCTATTTAATAATATTTTCTATGCAATATTTCTATTGTTCAAAAACATTTGACAAATTGTTGACATGTACCCAACAATAATACCAAACAAAAGTACAAATTTGATTATCTAATCTATAAATTATTTATTAGGAATCTCTACCAATCTCTTCTAATCTCTCAATTTTCTTAGAAATTTAAAAAACGAGTAACTAATAGATTTTATAGTTATCAATGTGAATTATCAAATATTATAATTAGATGAAACTAGTTTAAAATAAACATGAGCTTGTAATAGATCTATGTTTGGGCAATTATAACAATTTGAAATTGATTTCAAAGTCACTCTGTTTTCATTGATTTGTGATCCTCAAACATCTTCCCATTTTGGTATATTTTCTGTGGGCCCCTCGGTCTTTGGGATAGTCAAGATAGTTCTACCTTGGCATCATCTTTGAGGCTCTCAATCACGTTCTCCTTATACCGCAACACACAAGGATCTGGAAGGAAATTATAAGGCACTTCAAAGTCGATCAGTGCGGCTTCAAATTCACCTTGCTTCCACTTGCTCAGCCCTTGTTGGTACTTCAGCGTTTGAGGATACGGGTACATGACATACGACCGATCCAAGTCCTCTTCTGCGCCCTCAAAGTCCCCAAGTTTGAACTTCACCTTGGCTCTGGCTCGCAAAAACAGTGCACAATTGAAAGGATTCACCTCAATTGCCTTGTCATAATCCTGAAGTGATCCTTGCAAGTCGAAAGGAAACACAGATTCTCTCAACATTCCTCTGTGAAAGAGTGTTGCTTCGTGTCTGGGATCCAATGCCAGAGCTTGAGACATGGCAGCCTCTGCCCCTGCAAAATCGCCTGTGCGGTGCTTGGCTCGTCCTAACAGACTCAGAGTTGTTACGTTGTTTGGGTCCAACGCGTTTGCTGGTTCCAAGCAATACAAGGCTGCGTAGAAATCATCCAGCTCGAACTTTTGCATTGCCGCTTTGCGCAATGCGGCAGCTATTTCCGGTTGAGGCTCGCCCACTTCCTTCCATGTTAGACTCCTTCCCAGTGCTTGCAGAGTACCTGCAAAATTGGAGCCCTACAGATTCAACGTCATATGATTTCATTCGTTCTCAAGCAAGTATTCCTATCAGTTGATCTGCAATATTAAGCCCCATTGTGGAAAAGTGTACAAGCTGAACCATGCACTGATTTTACAACTAGGCTCTAAATTTGAGTTAGCTAGCATAATCCCCATGTCGATGCTATCATCTTGGGTGATTTGATAGAGGAGCAAATCTTGAGAAATCTGAGAGTTAGAATATAAGCTGGAAAGGAGGGGTTCTGTACTTGATAACCGGTCTTTTAAGACTCAATCACGGACTTTGGGCTACAATGAACGCATTGATTACGGAGCAACCAACCGATCAACAGCTGAAGGTAATGACTCTTCGTTGAGATTATGTAAAATTAACAATTTGTGTTCTCTAAAGTCTCAACATAGTGGCCCATGAGAGCCAGGTTACGAGAATGAAACATTGAACTTCACAATTGAATTCTAGTCATAAGACTTTAAGAAAGAATGGCACAACTTGCTACTTCCAAGAACGTGATGATCTTGCCTGGAAATGTTGGTATTCGTGAGTTTCTGCTGTGCTCAACTTCTAGAGTGCTTCCAGAGTTCAGAAGTGCCAAGAGAGAGTGTTTCCAGTCACAGCGAAAAAGATTATTGAACTTGTCCACCTTTTCCAAAACAGACTGAGATAATTTCCGTCCTGCAAGTTCTCTAGCAGCCACACACTGCGACAGCATCTTCGTGTCTTCCTGCGCTCCCGTATTATCGTTAACTATCATTCGAGCCGCAAACCGTGTGAGGTATGACATCTCACTCTCAGGCTCCAGCTCCACCATTCTATTAATGTACTCCAAAGCACGAGGCATATCATTCTGCACAACCCAATGCAACGCTTCTTGTCGCAACATCTCCACATCCATGACCACAAGTTCCGTTTGTCTGCATTTCACTTCTTCTAGAAACGCTTGAATCTGTAAGAGTCTCGGATCCTCGTGCTTGAACTTCATCAAGAATACCAGAACTTCCTCGGCCTTCGAAAACTTGCCTTGCTCTAGATATTGCAAACATCTAGACACAAGGAAGTCGTAAAATATCACAGCACAGCCGGTCTCCGGCATGGAGCAGGGATCTGGAATTTCCAATAACTCGAAGCAACCTTCGAGACACAAAAGGCGCAATCTTGTCAACTGGCAAAAATTCAATGGCAGGTTTTGGAGGCTAGCACAACAAGATAAGTTCAGCTCCTCCAAATACTTGAGCTCCCCAACTGAATCTGGTAGCCTTTTTAGACTCACACAACCAACCAGACTTAGGATTCTCAGCTCCTGGAAAGCACCCATATTTTCTGGTAGGCTTTCAAGCACGTCGCATCCAATCAGCTTCAAGTCTTGCAGCCTCGTCAAAGCACAGATAGCACTGGGAAGCGTTACAAATCTTGACAAACAGAGACTCAGTTCCTGGAGTCCAGTGAGGTGACTAATAAACGATGGAAGGGTTGTTAAGCTACCACAACCCACTTTCAGAGTCTTCAAAACAAAGAGGTCCTTCATAAGCTCCGGAAAGTGACTTATCTTGTCGCAAGAAGGAGACTCAAACGTGCGCAGGTTACACAACTTTCCTGTTGACTCCGGAATCGCCTCCAAATTGTAACATCGTCCCAAACTTAAATTCGACAAATTTCGGCAATTGCCAATGGACTCCGGTATTGACACTAGGTTAGTGCAATCGGTCAAGTATAAGCTCCACAGATTGGTCAAGGATCCCAAAGCTTCTGGCAAATGCTTTAATTTCGTGCATCCACGAAGTCTGAGGACCTCCAGCTTAGATAGGTCTCCAATCGTTTCTGGGAGACTCTCCAGACTGGAGCACTTTTCTAAATGCAAATTACGTAGATCTTTAGATCCGTTAATGGAGTCAGGAAGCTCTCTCAACTCCTTGCAATCGTCAAGGATGAGTGTCTGCAACCTTGGGAACTGCCACATCCAAAGTAGAAAATTTTAACTGAGGTTGTTACTCACAAATCAAGTGAATACAAAATTTAACTAAGTCATTGAGGGCAGACATGAAAAAAACATTAAAACAAGTATCATCAAAGAGTGAACATTTAAAAAAATAAAATAAAATAATCTTATTCTTTTTATTTTTTTATTGAAACCATACCGTTGCAGTTGAGTCTACGTTCCACAAGTGAGTGATTTTGCTTGATGCCAAGTCAAGCACCACCAACTTCCGCATGTCATACATTTCACAGGGAATTTTCTCCAATGGTAATCTTTGCCACCGTACATATCCCAGCCTATGAGGGAATTGAATACGGGTTCCACCGCAACCATCCATGTTTAGTAATCGTAAATTTTCCATAGGCTTGAGATTTTGATCCGAGAGGTCAGCTTTGCTTTCAGCAAGGCTAAAAGTTTGTACCTTATCTGTCACCTGTACAAATCAAACGATCTAAACATTTACTAACGGTAACGATATCCATATATTTACTAACATACACAAATGAGCAGTTGCAACAAAGTAGTAACCTACAATTTCTGTATGTTGATTATACAGGTGTCTGCAAGTGGTTAAATTTTTAGGTTTCACGATTAACCATGACTGAACTCAATTGTAACCACGACCTCATCATTTTCTCTCGGGGTAAGGTTTTAATAAAAAGAAAGAGGACCGTTTTGTGTCATCGATTGTCATGAAAAGGAGCGCATAACTCAAGCTCACCTCTTTGTCCAGAAGCTCTTCCTCTGACTCGTTCATCCACAACCGGCTGCGCTTTCCGGGTCTAACCACATCCTCCTCAGTTACAATACTATGACCCAGGTCAATCAGAAGATCATGCATGGTCACTAAATTATTTTCCACCTTGAGCAAAGATTTGTTGACAAGGTTTCGCAGCCCTAATTCCGCAGGCCACTTCAGAGACGTCCAAAGATCTTTGCACAATTGAGGAGGGCTCCCAAGTAAGAAACAAGCCACATCAAGGAACATTTCCTTGTGTCTAGGCTCTAATGAATCGAAGCTGATTTTCAACCGCTGTAACATCTTGTCATGATTCTGCAGTGAGTCATGCTTTCGGAGATGCTGTAAAACAGCGTCCCATACCAAAAGGTCTTTTTCACGCCTCAGGAGACTGCCCATAAGCTCCAACGTCAGAGGGTGTCCACCACAAGCTAGAGCTACTTCGTTTGCAAGCTCTTGGAACCCCTGAGCTGCAAAAATTGACCCAAAAGCATTCCAACAGAAAAGCTGTTTGGCTTCGGCTGGTTTCAAAAATGGCATCTCATAAGTGAAATCACTGAATACTGAACAGATCCACTCATCTCGAGATGTTAGAATGCAGCAACTACCAACGCCAAGATTTTCATCAACACATAAAGCCTTAATAGAGAGAGGGCTCTCAACGTTGTCCAGAACGATGAATGCTCGCTTGCTTTGTAAACACTGTCGCAATTTGGACTTCCCATCATTAATATCTTCCACAATATTGACACGGTCTGCATTACCCATGTCCCTCAAGAGTTGTAGTTGCAAAGAAGCAACCCCTTGATCGCCTTTCGACGTCTCCCTTGCAACATCTTCCAAAAAGCTCGACACAGGAAACTCATCCTTAATGCGTTTGAAAATCTCTTTTGCAAGTGTTGTCTTTCCAATCCCACCCATGCCGAAAATTCCAATTCTGCATGATTTCTGAGATTGGCTCCGAATAAAGGATAAGAATTCCGAAGCTTGTTGATCGAGCGCCACCGGAAAGAGAGATTTCAAATGTTGAAGAACTTTACTAACAATGGCCTGAACAAGATTTGTGTCAGATCTGGACATCCAAGGAGAGAATGGTCTCAATACAGTGAACGGAATAAAAACCTTTCAAAATTACATATTCAAACTCTTCTTTCTTAAACCACCCTTGAGCATTAATACAATTTTTTTTTAAAAACAAATCAAATTTGGACAGTCTGACACCTCCTCATGTAGAGGTTGATCATACACTAATACACTCTAATGTTTTCACTTCTGGACTCGTACAAAATGCCAACAAACATGAAAATTTTAAAAAATTCAATATTACTTCCTGAAGGAGCCCTAATCAAGACTACACCCTAGTAAAGTTTCCGAGCTATAGACACATTCAAGATTAATTGCAAAAATGATGCGTTTAAAGAATGAAACCGCCATTGAGGAGGAAAGAAACCATGAGAGTAGAGTTTAAAAGAAGAAGAAGCAAAACACTGAAAGAAAGGGCCAATTACCTGGAAAATTTGTTTAATTCGTAGCCGTAAATGTCGGCAGTTCTAGCAAGCCAACCCTTCCATCCTGACACTTTTTCTGGATGCCGGCTTTGCAATTTTTTCACTCCTGCTGCAAAAGGACTCGTGATAGCTTCTGGATGCCTGAGATGCCAGGGTTCCACATTGTAAAAAACGGGGAGAATTTTCTTGTCGGCGCTTCGGTGGATCACAGCCAGCTCATCAAGGCACCACATGGACTCAACGTAACCCGGCGAGAAAACACAGATGCTGATTGGAGCTACCCTGATGGCTTCCAAGATGGAATCCCACGAGGCTTCTCCTTGCTCAATCCCATCCGCATCCACGAAGGGATGCACCCCAGCCGATCGCAGAGCCTCATTTAATTCCTTCACAAACGTCTTCTTCACATCTGGGCCTCGGTGGTTGATGAAAACATCAAATGGTTGCTCATAGTGCATCCCTAAACAAATCCACAAATTTCAGTTCAGTTGCTTAAGCCCTGAACGACAATTCAGTTCGATTCAGTTGACAATGTTTGGGAAGAATATTCAGGACTTAAGAAACTGAGCTGAATTGTCGTTTAGTTCAACAACCCTCTCCATTTGATTCATCCAGTATAGTATCCTTCATTCAGATTGGGCTTACCACACACAGAGTAACAACTTTGATGTGATGATAATATATTAGATGATATAACAAGTGCGAAAATGTGAGCCAGGGTTCCAGTCAGTGGTTTCCGAAATGTGAAGCTTGTCACAATATTATCAGAATGATACACCAAAATTAGTTGGCATCTTGGGATTAAATATGCTTATCCTCTATCTGTTAAAAAGTAGACAGATTAATCAGAAACTCTAAGGTGATTGCAAACAGTATACTAGTGCCCTTGGAGCTGAAACAATACCCTAATCACAAAATGTAATCACTCTTGAGCCTTCATCAGCATTCAAACCAGCCATCGTGAATCATTTCACATCACATACAGACTGAGGACAGACCCAACATGGCTCATTCTAGACAAAACTGATCACAACAACGAGATGTCCTCAAGAAAGCGCAAGGATCACTCACCTACTCACAGAACTTGATCAAGAAAGCTGCGCCAAGTTGAAGACCTCTGCAACTATGAAATGTGGCAATCAAGCATCTTGAAGTTAGCGGAAGTAGATGGTGGTTCAGTTTCCAATGCACAATCATTCACTGGATCATGATGTCTTTCTGGTCTTTGTATTGATGCTCATAGTGTCAGTGGCTATGATATTCACTTATTCCTCATGAGATTTGTGTAGATTTAGGTTTCAGAAACTGAAGTGTAATGAAGATTGATAAAGCCAGCATTTGATGTGGTACAAGTGAAAAAACTTGCAATGATCAAACAAGCATTTTTGGACCTAAGACATTGCATCGGTAGGTCCACTCCTGAGATCCTTCCTATCAAACTTGGTGAATTACATCAGTAAAGCTCAAATGGGCCCAGGTGGAATACCAGAAATTGAATAGTTCTAAAGCTTGCACAAATCAGTTTGGAGAAGAATCCAGAAATCCCATCAGCTTAAACTTGCTAGTAGGGAATGAGTTTGAATACTTTGGTAAAGAGCCCTAAACCTTGGCTTCCGTAGTTCACGTCAGGGAGCGCTTCTGTTCGACGCCGAAGCCTCCGAACCGAACATTCCTGGACTCTCTCTAGTTGTGACTCACTCGACCTCTCAACTCTGGATCACTTGGCACGGATCCAGTTCTCTCTCATTCAATCCACTCCAAACCTGTTACTTCGGTGTCACTAAATCTTGAATTGGACTCCAAAGCGCACACTACCCTTGATCTGACCTATCGCACTTTTCTTGCAGTAACCAAATCCGCCATTCTATGTTCCGATCCGTACACACAGTTACATCGAATTCATCAAAGCATAGCAGCAGGATGAGCCCGGCCACGTGGTGAGGTGCCAGCGAAAGCCGTGGAGATCGATTCCGGGAGCGAGGAGAGCAGTGAGGGCGATGGAGCCGTGGAGAACGAGTTCGAGGCGATCTACACTCAATGATCTGCTGTCGGTAACCCGCTGTCGGTAACCTGCTGATATACCGCTGACTAGTTAAAAATGTGCCCACCCAGCGTGTGAAACTTAAGTCCGAGAAGCGCCAGAGCTCAAGCTCTCTCTCTCTCATACACATACACAGTTGGGTTCTCTCGTAAAGCAGTTCCCTAGGAGATTTAGCTTAGGTAAGCAAGCTAGAGTCTGCAAGTGAACCCACCTGCGTTGCGTCTAGTCTTCGTCTAGGGCTTGCACCCGGTCCCGTCTTGGTGTTCCTTCCTTCAGGGCTCCGGGAGTGGGTTTCTCCCCGCCTCTACTAATGAATTCGTGCCTGGTTTTACCCTAAAATCCTAAACTTAAGAAATGTCTTGCATCACATTAATACTTGGAGTTGATGGAGAATTTGGATTGATACTTTTCCTTTTACTTCCCTTGCAAATTTTCTACTATTAACTTTGAATGCATATTGTTCAAAATAAACTTTTCTCTCATTTGATTCCCCCTCCCGCTTCTTGTTATGTGCATACATTAACATTGGATGCCACCAGAATACAATCTGTAAATATTCACAGAAGGTTCAAGAAAAAATATATATGATACTCCAAATACAATTGCATCACATTCATACTTGGACCATTATTTTATGTTAATTTAGAATTATTATGATTAAGGAAGACTCAATGGTAGAAGCTTTAAGAATTATTAAGTGAATATGTTATAAATGCTAATGGGAGGGTGAAATGGATGTATTTTGAAGGCTTGTGAAAGAGTTGGTGTGAATTCTTAGAGGGCTTTGAGAGGGTTTTGTGAGTTATATAGAAATTTAAGCATGGTTTTAGGGATTAGGGGATGTGGATGAGGGTAGTGCAGTCCAAGATAAGGTATGATCTTAATTTTCTTTTCCATAGTTTAGTAATCAAGATAATGCAATTGTATAATCAAAATTGTAGTTAAAACTATAGTTTAGCAAGTTAAAAAATTTGAGGCAATGGTACACTCATGCATGTATCTAAGAGTATGAATAAATAGGTAGATTAATCCACATATCTTAAAGATATGGAGACTCATTGCCACATCATGCATTTAGCTTATATTAACAACCCTTGTGAGTTGTATATTATGAGCTTGTAATTAATACTTGAGTTGATTTAGTCCTAAGCAATCTCACCAATGTGTATAATTGTGATGTAATATAATCCTATCATCAAACAAGACATAGCAAGTATTTAGTATAGTTTCAAAAAAAGAGTCTTCAAAAAATCAATAAAAATTTTAATCAACAAAAATAATCATTGTTTATAAAACCTTTGCATTCCTAAGAAAGCTTCTTTAGGATTACAAAGTTTGTAGTTGAATTGTCACTTGTAGATTGCTTCCAATGTGACTTTATAAAAGTAAGATAAATAAATGCAAATAGAAGTATGTAGAAACATTGTAGATAGATAATATATCTTTTTAAGAAACCTTTGAGAAAATTTTCCAAATAAAAATTAAATATTTAGATTCCTATAGATATATTGCATGGCTATTGAAACTTATCCAATGAGTTGTTTTTATTTATATGAAGTTGCATTAGAAGCAATATATAACTTGATGCTCAAGCTACAAGCCTTGTGGTTCCAAAAAAGCTTTTATAAGATCTTTTTAGTAGCTATTATATTTGGAGGCAAGACAAAGACCATTCTTAGTCTTGTCAACACTTTTCTTATATTCAAATCTTGGTTCAAGACTCTTTAGTTTCTTTATAATTGGGAATAGTCACTTTATTTCTTTTTTAATCTTTTAATAATCTATGCTTTGTTTAGTTTTTTTTCTTTTAGTAATAAATGATGTATTTTATTTTTAGATTTTTTTCTAGAATTATGTCCTTGATAAAAATAAAATAAAAAAACATATACCTATATCTATAAACATATATGAAAAAACTCTCAATTTTACAAAATTATTCATTAGTTAGTATCTTAAAATTGATAAGAAAAATTATTTATTTCCTTTTAGATTATTTAGCAATAAATAAAATACACAATAGAAAATTGAGCTAGTAGTGTAATAAATTAAATTATATTTAGCTAATACATCTATTTTATAGATTAACATTAAGACAAAATCTATTCAATTTATTATCATATTTTAAAAAATTAATCATCTTTGTCAAGCTCAACCACAAAAATTATTTTAAAAAAATTATGTATCATATTTGTTTTAAAAAATATATAACTTAATCTTTTTTTTCTTATTTAAGTTAACAAAAAAAATCTTATAATACAATGATAAAAAACAAACTAAGTAACTTCAAGATTGAACCTCCTCTTATTTTGTGCAGCTAAGTTTTGCACAAAACAATGTTAAGCAATCATTATATATTGAACACAAAATCTACCATTTTAGATAAAAAATTACTTACAAATATAAGTTTTTCTTTACAACCTTGTATTGTACTAAGAATCCAATAGGTTTGTGTTGGAACACCAAAGCCTTAGAAAATATTTAAGTAGATTTGTATGCAGGTATTAATCTTATAGTTCTTGTAAGTTAAGTTTGGAATTACAAATTGTTGCAGTTTAAATATAAGGCTTTGAAGATCTAGTAAATTGCCCATTCAAGCAATATTAATTGGATACATTTTTAAACTTTTTAATTGTAAATGCAATTATAATTAATTTATCAAAGATATAAAATAAAATATCTTAAGTTCTTGCTAATATAGTATTAGTATGTAGATATTTTTGAATTGTGATAAGTAGATTAATTAGAATAAAAACAAAACCATATTTTATTTATAAAACTTTAAGTCTAACAAATAAAATGTTAATTGAAGAAAATAGCATATACTTATTTTAATTTTATGAAGATTTAGTAACTAATTATAATAACAATAAAAATAAATAAATATATTTATGAATAAAATTTATAAAATCAAAAATAAAAAGATAATGAAGATATTAAATTTTTTCTACCAAAAATAAATTTTAGAAAAATAGCAATAAAAAGAGTATTGAAAAATAATATAATAGTATAACAAGATTAAGAATTTTAATAGAATATAAATTAATAGTTTAAATGTTTTAATTAAAAAAATGATAGAAAATAATTCTACAAAATATAAGAAGTGAAATAAATTTATTCAAAAAAATGATTAAATAAAAAATCACCAACTTTAATTTGTACTTTTAATTAATAATATATATATATATATATATATATATAATCATATCCCTTTAATGTGGATTTTTTTCTATTTTTATTCAATAAGATAATAATACAACTTCTATTCCCAATACTTTTAAATGAATAAGTAATAATTTATTTTTATGATTTAGGTTAAAAAGTCCATCCTAATGTATTCATGAAATCTACATTTCTTAGAAATTAAAAGTTTTTAAGATATACCAATTTATACATTTATAAATACACAAACATACATACATACATACATACATATAGGGAAATGATAAAACGACCTACATGTTTAAACCATCATTGTACTCTTTCAACCCCATCTGCATTCTCTTGTTCATAACTATTGTCCCCATTTCCATGTTTCCTACTATTGTCCCCATTCCCTTGTTCCCAATTATTGCCTCCATTCTCCTATTCCCATGTTCCCAACCATTGCCTCCATTCCCCTGTTCCCAATCATTGCCCCCATTCCCTTGTTCTCAGCCATTGCCCCCATTCCCTTGTTCTCAGCCATTGCCCCCATTCCCCTATTCCCAACCATTGCCCCCATTCCCCTATTCCCAACCATTGCCCCCATTCCCCTATTCCCAACCATTGCCCCCATTCCCCTATTCCCAACCATTGCCCCCATTCCCCTATTCCCAACCATTGCCCCCATTCCCCTATTCCCAACCATTGCCCCCATTCCCCTATTCCCAACCATTGCCCCCATTCCCCTATTCCCAACCATTGCCCCCATTCCCCTATTCCCAACCATTGCCCCCATTCCCCTATTCCCAACCATTGCCCCCATTCCCCTATTCCCAACCATTGCCCCCATTCCCCTATTCCCAACCATTGCCCCCATTCCCCTATTCCCAACCATTGCCCCCATTCCCCTATTCCCAACCATTGCCCCCATTCCCCTATTCCCAACCATTGCCCCCATTCCCCTATTCCCAACCATTGCCCCCATTCCCCTATTCCCAACCATTGCCCCCATTCCCCTATTCCCAACCATTGCCCCCATTCCCCTATTCCCAACCATTGCCCCCATTCCCCTATTCCCAACCATTGCCCCCATTCCTAGCCCCTTGCCCCCATCTTTAGTAATGGTTGGGAATAAGAATGGATGAGAACAAGAATGGGGCTGCAAGGGTGCAATGATGGTTAAGATAGAGTGGGTTGCTTTAATAAATATACATAATATTGAAAGTAATTTTAGATGCTTTTTATTCTTCACCGAACTGATATAATTGCAAATGCGAAGAACATTCCGAAATGGTTTTGTCCATGGATATATGACGTGGCCATCTCCGAAATGGCACCACTAAAAACGCTACACGTGGTAACGAGGGGGGGGGGTGGGTAGTTCTTGTTTTTTCGGCGTGGCTTCGTCTTCTGTGAGTGTTGGGATGCTCTGGATCCAATCGGCTGTGGTGTCGAAGTGCCGAACGTGTAGAATTCTTGCTTGGTCACTACTCCAGGTCTTCGTGATTCTTCGTGTGTTCGTAGAGCCGCTTCGGCGCTTGTACCCGTTTCGTTCTTGGAATCGCAGGATTTGCCTCAGGGTTTCGTCCACTAGCATTCGTTTCATATTGTGTGTGCGTGTGGGTGAGAGTGAGAAATAGGAAATCTTAGTTGTACAGCATTCGACGATCGTGGTGTTCTGAGCTTGAGGATTAGCTGAAGGAAGAGGGTTTTAGAAGCCATGAGTAGTAGCAAGCATGCCAGGTTGCTGTTCAAAGCGTTTCAAAAGCCGCCGCAGATACGGTGTTTTCGAGCGCCATCGTCGTCTGCGCCAATTAATGAGAAATCTGTGTTTTCCACGAAGTTGAGTGGCACCGAATTTCTCTCTCCACTCTCCAAGGTACTGCTTCATCTTGAAATTCCCCTGTTTCTGCTGGATGCGATGACGACTATGAGGAGACTTTCGCAATCGAAGTTTCTTAAACCCTAAACCCTGAGTTCTCGCTAATAATAAGGGTAAAATATATGTTTGATCCAGAGCAGACCGTTTTAATATTCTGTCTTAGATATATTTTTTTGTGCTTTCGTGATGTGGTGCGCAGAGATGGACCGCTTTTTCGCTTCATCGTGCAGTGCCCCAAGTTTCTTCTATTTCTAACCTCAACAGTTTTACACATTTTTCATCTGCCGCCTCTCCAGATGTTTCAGGTAATCTATAATTTGACACTATCTAGTTGCCTGAGTGTAAGTAATCTTTCTCGCATGTCTAAAATCCTTGCGCTTAGTACTATTAGCTTTATGCTTCTATGAAAAGTTGGCATTCTTGGAGTGAAGACGGCAAACAACATTCCAGAACAATTGCTTAACCACGTGATTCACCTTGCTACAGACAAAACGGGCAGTCCAGAGTATTCTGCAGCAGAACCTAGTCGTACATCAACAGCTGAAGGAACTTCTGAATCAGTCCAACACGCAGAAAGATCCAATGACATTAAAGCGGATGATTTAGCGAGAATGGTTGCAGAAAGAGATGCCCTACTGCAAGAGAAAGATAAAACTATTAAGGAATTGCAAGACAAGGTGCTCAGAGGTTATGCCGAAGTTGAGAATGTCATGGCCAGGGCAAGACGGGAAGCTGAGTCTACTCGTAAATTTGCCCTGCAGGTATGTTAGGAGCTGCTCTCACCTACTAAGAAATTCGACGGTAGCTTATCGTAATGATGTACTTGTCTTTTAGTTAGTCTCTTCTGTATTTATCATTCCATGGGTAGCAATGTAGAGGAACGGGTGTATTAAGAGCTTATAGGTTTCTACTCCTGGTGCAACGCAGTTCGTTATCAATTATTTTACCCTCTTTTAGCTTATTGAACTGAACCGTCGTTTCATCGGGTTGACATTTCTTGTCTGTTATCAGCAACGAACAAATGCTCCTCTTAAGCAATTTGGCCTCTTTCAAACTACCCGTCGCATGGATTTATCTGGGAATATTACTTGGGTGCAGGGCTTTGCCAAGGGGTTACTGGACGTGGCCGATAACCTTGGGCGAGCTACAGGGGCAGTTCCTGAAAACCTTCGTAAACTAGATTCTACTTTGGAAGATTCAAGTGGCGCGGCGAAGGTGTTGATTACATTACTGCAGGGTGTCGAGATGACGGAAAAGCAACTACAGCAGGTTTGTTGTCCTCGTAGATTTTGCTAACGTATCGAAAATAGAATCCTTTAGTATCTTTTGCTTTCTTTTCTTTTTAATTTTTTTTGAGAACAAAGTAGTGGTATTTTCAGATCTTTCATTCTTTTAGTTGGTGAATGAATTTATCACAATGGATATATGGTTTATGGGTCATACAACCAGGTATTTAGACAAAATGGTTTGGAGAAATTCGAATCCGAGGGAAAAGAATTTGACCCCAACTACCATTCTGCAATGTTTGAATTGGAAGACGAAACCAAAACTCCTGGCACAGTTGCCATAGTCACGAAGGTATGCTGAAACTATGAACATTTTTTTAGTTCTCGTTGAGTCAAGATGAAAGCTTTGATTACATTTGTGGCATGTGTGTTACACGCTTTTGTGGTGCTAAGGGTCTTGCCCATCAATGATGACAGGTGGGTTACTTGCTCCATGACCGCGTTATTCGGCCTGCTGAAGTGGGCGTTATCAAAGCTAAGGAGTGAAGAGTATTTACGTCAGTTTTATTGACGGAGTTGGCTGAAAGCCACGTGAGAATCTCTATGTTGAGAAAAATCAAGCTTAGGATATGTGTTAAGGATATCCATGATCTATAGAGATGCTCTCATAAATTTTGACAGTGGATATCCTTTGTGGTTATTTGGATACTTTACATTTTTTTATACAAAAATTAAAGAGGTCGGAAAAACAAAGAATCCAACTACACATTCGAGTCTGTGAACGGTCTCCCCAATAAGTGTCCAGTAATTAGGTGTCGAGTAACAAAGTCTACTCGCGAGTTTGCTTTTGCGCACGCAACAGTAGGTGCAACACAAACACTAGTTCGGCATTGTTCCATTTTCTATGGACCGCTAATAACAATTCCTGTTGCTGGTGAACTTGATCAAGCCTTCATGTTAGTTATCTTTCAAATGCCTTCAGTGATGTGTATTTCATTCGGCTTTCTTTCCACTTTCCAAAACCTAAAAATTAAAAAAACTAATTCTCATACATCGATATACTTGTATAATGCAGCTCGAGGTTTCCTCCGTAATTCTCTGAGCGATGCTAATGGAGCGCAAGAATAGGTGATTGTATATTATAACTGGTCTTTACAATCCTAAATTCATTGCGAATCTCTAAATGCATCAAGTTTTGGGACACAGTTTGAGGCTACTACTTTGAATATCATTCATTCATGTTCAATGTAATAATCAACGAGTCAATTACCTGCCCAGGTCATGTTCGCAGCAACAGCATCATGACTTGGATACATGCAGGTTTCCCATGACAGAGAAAATCAGTATGTATTCTTTTCTTCAGCAAAGAGCGTCCACTGCTGACATTTGTGACAACGATAGTAGTTTTAGAAAATCTAGATCTCAGAGAGTTGAGATAAAATTGCTCACCACCGGTTCCTCGTTGTGGAAGCAATTTCCATTTATTTGGAGCAGAGATTGGGGTATACTTTCTGATTGCTGAGCACGATAGCGTAGGTAGAAGTGGCTTCCTCCGGTATATCTCTAGCACGGAAGCTGGTGGCATGACGATACCTTGCTCCACAAAGAGTTGGCAACTTGATGTGCTTGAATCTATCGCAGAGTTTTTGCTTGATATTTCGCAAGTCCTCTTTTGAAGCTCTTTTGGTGTCAAATGGCTCCAAGTTGCCGAAACGGTGTATATCTTTGCCTAACCTTTTGGAGAGTCTCTCCCGAATAGCATCGATGTCTACACTGTCCTCACGATCGAGAGAATCGACTTTCTTCGCAACACTCGAGAACATGCTGGGCGTGAGCTGATTCATCACCTTGACTCCCTCGTTGCCCGATTATACAGTAATTCCAGACGAGTAGGCTCCGTGTTATCCGGGCCCATAGCTAGAGATGAAAGCCATATTGTATAGACCAGGGCGATACAAGAGACGGCCGAATTGCCAATCCATTATGATTACTATGGTTTAAGCTGCTGCGAAGCAAATGCTACGGGATTCCGAGCAGGTGACTATTCCTAATTCAGAGGCAAGCATAATGGAGGTTGAAGGTCCTTGAACAAAATGACTCGATCTGTAAGGCTGCGAGAGCGTGGGCTTGCGGACGGTAACGCAAACAACATCGGTACGGGGAGAAACAAATACCTCTGGAACTGTTGTCCCTGTGTTCAGCGCTCAAAAGGGTAGAGAAATGTGCAGATCGGCATAGGATGTTCAGAGTTCTGGATCGCACGCTCGCACTCAGCTCAAGGGGCTCGGCATCTTCACAGTGGGAGCTCCATCTTGCAGGGTATAAGCTTTGCAAATTAGATGCTTCAGCTGGGCCACTTGACACTTTATGTGCACGATTGTCTCGTGATGCTGGCTTTGCTCAGTTCGACCATCCACACTCTTAAGGTCGTTTGGGCACATTAGAGGTGTATCAGCATTTAAACAGACCAAGGTTTGGAAAGCTAGACTTGATTGGATGCAGCGGCAAAAGTTGGTCGGTTGAAAGATTATTGTGAAATCGTTGTGGAACGTTTCTTGAACAGGGTTCCATTAATCTCACATGTTGATGAATGCCTAAATTTGATGATCAAAGTATAAGAGTGTTTCTGCATTTTGTGAGTTGAAACTTCAAACACCTACGGATCTGTTGTCTCTTGTATGCTAGGTTGTTCGTGAAGAAAACTCGTCTTTCATTGTCTACGAAACAATAGCCGAATCATGGTACAAAGCACGTGGAGCCCAGTACGGAGGTACTCTACGCTCTCTGTACTCCTTCGGTAGTGGATATTCGTATAGGACGAAGTTGGATTTTAAATGGATGTTACATGGACAACAAAAAAACACTGGTACGTAGAGGTTGTGCCATCCCAGACCAGTCCTTACAGCGTAAGGGAGTGGGTTGAGGTCGAAAGTGACCACAGTGAACTGCAGCATTGCGGTGGTCAGGATCCCATCCTCACAACTCGGATAGTGTACCCTCATATCACATCATCTCACAAAGGACCCAGTTTTCGAGTGGGTCCTGTTAATCATACACGCCGTTGGCTAAATCCTGAGGAGAGATGAGGAACGTTGAAACGGTAGGTGTTTCGTGAGGAGCATTTTTGCGCTCGAGTCAATTACTGGTCGGTGGTGATGGGATGTGAGTGCACATTTATGAGGCGTTATTGCCTTTGTAACTGCTACTTCTACACCTGTTACTGACTCTTCTACAACTCAGGCATTCTTTAGCATAACTTGTTGAGGGACCGAGTGCCTTGATGCTGTTTCTGTCTCAATATGCTCGATACTTTTATGCAGTCACCCAATGTACATTGTTCCTCGCCCTCGGGTTGTAGGAAAGTTGCTTGCTCGCACGTTCTTGTGTACTTATGAGAATATTATGTTATACAAAGATTGTCTCGATATTGTCTCTGCCATCCACGCAATCTCAGTTGTTTTGCACGAGTCTAACTGAATATACTTTTAGCTACGTTTTGTTCATAGATTCACTACACTGAAAGTGATCAAATAATGACGTACGAAAGGAGTTTTAGCTTAAATTTCTACTCGAAGTTTTTATCTGAACTCATTTGGTTTTGTTCTGTACGTAAGTGAAGTTCGTGTGCTTCGGATCTTTGTTGTGCTGCAGCACTAGTGGTCGTTAGCTTTGAGTAATTCAACCATGACTTCAGGTTTCATCGATTGAGTATAGAAAGGAGAATCTGTTGGGCACATTTACATCGTACACAGTGTTGAGTTCTCAAGAGGCATCCATAGTCAAGGTTGGGTTTCTGCATCCTTTACTGAACAGTTGAAACGTCTTTTGAGGATGTAGTTTCCACCTGGTCGGAATGTATAATGGTTTCTATGCCACAATTTTTCGAAGCATAAAAGTCTCTCATCTTGTACTCTGGGCTCGTGATATATCGTAGACTCAATGTACAGATACCACTTATTTTAAAACTCCAAAAAAGTTTGCATGATAGTTCGTGTGTCCTCCTGCATGCCTATCAAATGTAGGTTAAGATTGGTAAGCATCCTACATTACAAATGGCGTACACCATTCTCATAATTCACATGATACCCAGTTCTCGACGACAGCCTAGCATTAAGTACGAGAAATTTCTACCAGTGAGCGCTCTACATCACTATTCAGCTGCACCAGCACGTCGGACAATCTCCTCCATGTCCATTCTCTCTACCAAGTGGTGTAGAACTCGCCAGGGGGTTCACACAAAGCATCTCCCACCTGTCAATCTCATTCTGGTTGTTGAGGATGGGCTTGCTGTGAGCATACTGGAAGAACATTCTCCTTTTGAGCTGTGAAATCTGAGTTTATGTTTAAGTATTTGAAGTAAACGCTTTCACCGCCACATCTTTACCTATACAGCATACTCGGCAAGAGTTCAATCACTGAACACTAAAAAGAGCCGTGGTTGTAATTATCAAAAACTGCCAAAAAATTAATACAGAGCTCATTTGGCCCGTCTGATCCAAGTTACAGCTGGATCCAGAAGATGATGTGAACGAATGTGTCGGGATGACAAACTAATAAAAACATAGTCAACGATGTATTCATAGTTTCCATTCTTCGTAGACAATGGGATTCACTAAGATAACGCAACGAGATCTCGGTGACCCATTAATCTGGTGTGTCACATAACAAACGCTTTTGAACCTAAACGAACACCACAACATTTCCGAGTCCATTATAAAAGAAAACAAAGCGTGCCACTAGAATCGACAATGCTCATTCTCAGACTTCAGGATGATGATCTCAGTCTGCAAGTGCTGAAAACTTCTGCGATGATATCTCAAAATTTCGCCTCGAAACTTAAGACCGCTGCATCCAGATTCCATTGTTTCACTGGAAGCACTAGAAAACATGAGATGCAGAATCAGGCTTGAAACAGTGACGTCCTGGCAATGATTGTTTGGTGATTCTTTTGTTCAGAAACTCTAGGGATAACAAGAAGAATCAAAAGAAAATGATTTAAATAACATTAACAATAAGATAACTTTTTACCACTATGTATGCACATGGTGTAAGTACACAGGATGATATCCGAAAGTATAGGATCTCAATGCAATAGTCTGACGTGTATCTATCTATAGACTTCATCAATGGATGGATGTGAATTGACATTAAACAATATTATGTTTTCAACACCCCTCTTGCAACAAGCATTGCATTGATGTTGAGTGGCACAATAGTCTTAGAAGTGATATGGAATTTTTATCAAGGTGAGTGTTCAAAGCTCCCATATTGTCTAATTTGGTCAATTTAAAAAGAAAGAGGTGAAGACATGGGTTAGTGAAAAAGATAAAATGAGGCTCTTTTCTTGATTTGTCACTGTGTCATAGAGGGATTGATGAAGAGGGATTGATGAAGGGTGGTGCCAATTTTACAAGAATATTGTCATGTTTGCAAAAGGATCACATTGACAAGAAGTAAAGGAGTGGCATTTTTTGAGTGTGCCATTATATCTGCTAAGAGAGATCACTTCAACAAGAAAAAATAAAATAAGCTAATTTTATACTAGGGTATGACATATAAAAGATAAAAATTTGATCATACTCCAGATTTTAGAGACAATGGTTGTAGATGAGTTGAGTGTAGTTATGTGAAAGTTATGAAGATAAGGTCACTGATATGGATTCTAGTGATGTTATTTTATTAAGGTTATATTTAATTTCTTATTGTTGTGACTATTTTCAAGGCGTTAATGAAGGTTACTTAAGATTGATAGGATGTTGTAGTGTTGATATTGTATCTATATTGAAATATAGAGAAATGGCAAGCCAAAGTTGTCCAAGTTGATACACTTCTATAAATAATAGTTCATATATGAATAATTTTAGAGTAAAAGAAGAAGATAAAGACAAAAGATTGACAAAGAAATTTGAGAAGGAAATAAAGGTGTTTGTATTAAAAAAGTAGATAGT